TAATAAAATTTTTTTTTTTTTTTTTTTTTTTTTTTTTTTATTTTTTAAAATAAATAAAAATATTTTTAAAAAAAAAAAAAAAAAAAAAAAAAAAAAAAAAAAAAAAAAAAAAAAAAAAAAAAAAGAATCGGACAATGTAATGAAAAGATGAAACGTTCACATAAATTAAAACTTTAGATACCATATTATCGGTGGTCAATAAATCATATGAAAATGAATTAATTAGAAATAAAGCATAATGAAAATATTCTAATTTTCTATTGGTCATTTATTCTATTAGCCAAACCCTTGATCCAAACCGGTTTAAAAACTGGTTCGACTCAGTTTCAGTAGTCCTTGTATCGTAAAGGACAAAATTTATACAAATAAAATACTTACTGCTCGATGTGCAAACGATAAGCGGACATAAACCAGTAGATTTAAGGCTGATTAGCAACATTCCACTGCAAAGAGGTTGAGTTCGTTCTTTATCAACGAAAATTCGATATCTTCTGGCTCGATATCTCTAAGTTCTGGAAAATGATTTAAAAGAGTTGGTTTAATATGGTGTAATTGGGACGTTGCGACTTAAAGCCGCTTGGATTAACTTCATTTTCCTCGGAACTTGGTTTGCTAGTAGAATCCACATCGATATTAAGGAATTCTGTGATGATATTTTGGGGATGATATTATTGTAGATGTTATTGATTCGGCTTTATCGAAGGTAGACATGCTTATACATTAAAAAAAAATAATTATAAAACCACAATAGAAAAAAACAATTGTAGAGCAGGCGGCGGGTTAATATATATAGTGATACTTGATTCACTCCACTCCTTTGTGCATTTATAAAGAAGACATAATTATGTAGTTAAAAAGTAATCAATGGCAAGAAAATGCGATGATGATAAAGATGAGGTTCGTCCTGTAGATATGACACCTATGTATCCTTTCACATGACAATTTGGGCTTTTATTGAGAGCTTAACTTTAAAAGCTGGAGTTTTAATTTACTTTGCACAAGATTGTATTCCATATAAATTAACGAAATTAATATGGCTATTAAGTAGCATGGTAATGAAATTTTTACAGTTGAAGAATTAAATCCGATTATAATTGGGCTGTATATTATCAGTAATTACGACATATTGTTCAGGTGAGTTCAGGGATAGATTGGTTCGTCAAGGTTCTCAAAAACTAGTTTTTAAAACTAAGGACGGGTCAAACTGGACCGATTTATAATTTCAGCCAAAAGACTTTTTTAAAATCGGTTATAATTAGATTTATTTTTTTTGAAAATTTATTTGTAAATTTTTTACAATCGTAATAATTTATTTAATTATATTATTTCGAATCAAACCTTTCTATACAGAATGTTTCCCAAGCCATTTCTGAATGCTATAGTATATCTAGCTAATTGAAAGGCTTGCTTGATGCAACGCTAGTATCTTGTATCAAAAAAAGCTTTTAACGATACTGAATATGAATCTGGAATTTACTTAACAAAATCATACATTGCAATGAATCCCAAGCTTATGTTGACACTTCAAGTGACCGTAAGATAGTAATGGTCATATAAATCATTAGACTTTTTGAAGTTATTGGTAAGTCAAAACTTGATTCTTGTCCAAGAGTTATTAAAATCTGTGGATAATTTGAAAATATTTAGATCAATAATTTATACCTGACAACAAGAATATGATCGATCGGAAGATTCTGATTTATCAACAATGCCTATCACAGTTTTGTTTGACGAAAACCCTTTGATTTTTCAAAGCTAAAAAATAGAGGTTGGCAAATAACGTTTTATTTATTGAATAAAATGAGATTGTACATTTATATCCAAAAACCAATAAAAATATTTATCAGTCGTAGCAACCGCAGTCTTGTCTTTATTAAAATTATGATGGTCGCAAACCATAGCCATGTTAACGCAGTTTTATTACTCAACCACTGTTACATTCTCTCTGTTGTTTTAACTGATTAGCATGGCATAGTATCGACACCTTATTTTATTACAATCATAACTATATTTATTAAATTTATTCATATTATAGTAAATGCAAAGGAGCTTGCAAAAGGTTAAATTTCATTCCGGACTCATTAGTAATAGATTTTTAAAAGGCAAAAGTGACATGTCATAAAAATTTTATTGAAAAATAGCAAAATTACATAGAGATAAAGGTACATGAAAATGATAAAAAAAATAAAAAAAAAATATCTAAATAAAATAACTTAAGAGCCGTCACTGCAAAAGCGTGCGGATAAACCACAAGTTAACAGACTGAAACGTGCGACAGCCCTTAACCTAAAAGTAAGTAATTTAATAATGAAAAGAAGAACTGCAATAAGAAAAATGAAATTGTTTACTTCTCTGTTGTAGTATATTCTCTAAAGAACGCCATGAGACCTGAACTTTTTCTAAGCGACGCGCCAAAGCTATGTTCTGTTCTTTGTAACCTTCTATTTGTCTAAGAGATTCTTCATACTTACTACGAATAGCAGCATACTTACCATACCAGTTATTTAATTCTTCTGGTAAAGAAGAAAGGCGGTTCAAGGCCTCACGAAGAGTCAAAACTTCAACTAAATAATCATCAAGGAGCTGAGCATTTTCTCTTACAGCTTGTTCTCTTGCTATTTGAGCAGCAGCTTTGGCTTGTGAATAAATAATATAATATCGAAGTTTAGATGGACGTACCATTGTAAGAATTATAGAAAAAAGAAAGGTGAAAAAAAATTTAAATATACATATACAACACGCTACATATGCATATTTTCCCACGATCGTCATGCAGATCAGCATAGCGGACATGCTTAATTGTATCACAATTTGCCGATCTTTTTGTCGATCTTTTGCCGATCATTATTTCATTTTATCACCATATAAATCAATTAATTTTTTAATTAGCTCCGATTGTAAAATTATACATACTAATTTTTTACAAGTTGCTTTATATAATTATAAAGAAATAAAGTACTGAAAAATAATTATTATTGAGTAAGTTTTACTAGAAGCATCATTTTGCAATTACATAAAAAAAAGTGTCAAAATCAATGTATTTTTATGTTAATTAGCTCCGATTGAAAAATCCTACATAATAATATAAGCTGATTTTTTGCTTGTAACTTTATATTAATATAAAGAAATATAATACCAAATTTTATCAAAATCTAATTATTATTGAATAAGTTTAACTAGAAGAAACATTTTGTAATTACATAAAAAAAAAAAAGAAATCAATGTATTTTTTATGTTAATTGTCTCTGATTGAAATATTTTACATATAACATATACTAAAATATACATATAACTTCATAATATATAGCATAATAAAAGTATTAATTTTTATAAAATAGATTTACAATTTAAAAATGATTAAAATTTAAAATTTATTAAATCTAATTTAAATTTTATCATAATTTAGTCATTTTTGATACATTATATTGTATTGATTTTCTATATTATATTCTGTTTTTTTTAATATACTTTCTATAATTTTATTATCATTATCATTATTTTTATTTTCTTTAAAGGTGTAAATAATCTCTTATTTAAACTTTTAATATTTCTTTCTATTTCAAATGAAATATAATTAAAACCATAAGAACACTTATCATTAAATAGAGTATTAAAACATTCTTTATGAAAACTATGTCTATAAATTAAGAAATTCTATTAGATAATTTTATATAATTTGGTAATAAGTAACTATTTGCATCACAAAATTTATTATCAGCAGATTTTTTGTGTATTCCAAGTTAAAGGAAGCATCTTTACATCTACTTCTATATCAAACTTAGAAGATAAAATTTTGAATATTTATCATTATTAATTTGCTTTATATTTCCTAAATTATGATAAACCTTATCAAAAATTGATAATAGAAATAATGAAATTTTTTCTCTAAGGATTTTAATTTATTAATTTGAGATTTAGTTAGATATCTTAAATTAACAAATGAATCTTCAAAGGTAGAGTTATTATTTCTTTTAACATCAATAATTTTTGCTTTTTAAATAATTTGTAATTCTGAATTGGACTTTAAAAAAATATTTTTATATGAAAAAAATCTGATTAAATTACCTATTTTTAATTATACGTAAAAAATTGAATTTTCATAAAATAATCAAAAATTTCTTGAAATTTAATTTTTTAAACGAAATGATTTTATACAATTTTATTTGTTATATAATTAGCAAATTAGAAAAATATATCTAGCAAAAATTTAAGATAATTATTTTAAAAATCTATATATAATAAAACTTAATATATTATTTATTTATTTTTTTATTATAAATAAAAAAGTTAAATTACTATATATAATATAAATAATTTATAATAATGATAATTATTATTCATTAAAAAATCCATATAAAGAAAGAAAATCTTAATAAAGGATTAACTAGTATTTTAGTTTAATTTAGAAGATAATTGTTTTTAATAATTTGATCTAAATCTTATAGAAAAAAAATATATTAGAAAACTTTTTAATAAAAAAAAAATAAAAAAAAAACTTTAAAAATTACCTTCAAAATAAGTTATACTTGTGATCTAAATATAAATTAAATCTTAAAAAAAAGATAGAAAATATTAGTAAATATTTTCAATAAAAAAAATTTTAGATAAATTAAATACTCATTTTTTTTTATAATAAAATAGTCCACTTAAAATTATTCTTATTTTAAACATTTTATATAATCACAAGTATTCTTTGAATAAACTATTTTTATTAAATTTTTAACTAAAAAAAAAAAAAATAATTAATAAATTATTTAAGTTATTAAAATAAAAAATAAATAAAAATTACAAATTTCAAGTTAAAAGAAAAAATTAAAATAGAACTAAAGATTAAAAAAAAAGTTAAAAAATAATTAATAAAAAAATAATGATTCTAGCTTTTATCTTTTAATAATAAAAAAATGAAAAAAAAATATTATCAATATTAAAATTTATCTTTTTGCCTAAGTAAATTATATAAATGTAATTATGCTATATATAATAAGTATACTGTTCTAATTAAAATATATAAGAATTATTTAATTCTAAAATTGTTATTTCTTTTCTCTTTTTTTTAAAAATATAATATAATAATAAAATTTTAAAAAATTTAAATTTAATAATAATGATCACTTATATTTTTTATAAAAGAAAAAAAAAAAATAATTAATAAAAAAAATAAAAACCTAATTAAGACTTATTCTAAACTATTTTTAAGTAGAATATCTAAGATATTTTTAAATAAAACATCTTGAATCTACTTTCTGAATTAAAATAAAAGGAAATAGATTAATATTAGGTCTAAATTTTTACTTTATATTTTAAATAAATAATACTAAAATTTTATTTTTAAGTTAAAAAAAAAAAAGTTAATAATAAATTAAAAAATAAAAAAAAAAAAGAAATTTAAACAAAAAAAATGCTTATCTTAATATTTTAAATAAAACTATTCTAAAGTATTCAGACTTTTTTAAGATAATAAAAAATTGATTTAAAAAAAATAATCATTTTGATATTTTAAAAACAAGTAATATATATTCATATAATATATTTATTTACTAAAATAATCTGATAAATATTATATATAGAAACTAATACAGTCAGTAATTTTATCAAAAATATAATACAGTGGCTACCAAAAGAAACGCAAGTGTGATTGGTTACCTTTGAACGGCTATAACTCATCAACCACAAATG